AAAAAAAAAAAAGAAAAGAAAAAAAAAAGAAAATGAAATAGAAGGGAGATTCGTGAATGAGAAAGAGTTCAAGAGATAGATAGAGAAACGGATAGATAAAAGAAATGGTAGCAGCTGGGGTTTTGTCCCGCGGACATACTTGAAAGAGTGGCCGAGACAAAGGATATCGGTGATCCAATAGAGTCCTTCTGCTCACCAATCTGTACGATGTAACTGCATTGTGTCTCGTGAAATCAACAAGATTATCCTTTGACGGAACTGAGCCATCTGTGCGGCAGTGGTCGACAAAGTCCGACTGTATATAGTATCTTATGCCGATATCAAGGAGCTTTCGGGCAAGATACTACGGATTTATCGTCGCGAACGAACGTGATAGGATGAACATTAGCAAGATTACACGCGAGACCCGTCGGAATAACCTACCTGACAAAGTAACACCTGCCCACCACTTTCTAACTGTTTCCCCATAAACCGATACAAGTCTTCTATATAAATCGATACACCGATTTATTATTTCTTTATCGCGAATAAAATAGCCGTAATTTTGTAAAACGAACGAGACGTTTATGTTCTTACCTTCTTAAATACGTAAATAAGATTGTTTTATTAAATTCTTAGAATGAGAGAGAAAATTTGCCAACCGACCTATATAATTTCATGGAAAACAGCTGTACGGCGCCTCGTAGTCGTAAAAAAAGTCTTTCTATTCTGGTGCACGTTCCAAGCACCTGCATAAAATTCTAGAAGAGAAATATGTATGCTTAAAGGGTCATCGACAGTAATTCTCTTTCTTACGATATAATAACTTACAGTCTCAACTATTTTTACAAATTAAAAATCTAACATAAAAAGGATATATAGAAAAAGTTACATCAAAATGTTACGTCAAAAGAGATGGGTATTACATATATACGACGATCCAGTTCTTTCGATAGAAAAAGAAAATTATGAAACAATAATAAAAATGAACACATTTTCGAGTATCTAATCAATTACATTCAGTTGATCCCATCAATCAGCATGCTGTAACTTTATGGAAAATACTTAGATTACGACGTGAAAGTTTTTTTATGCCCTGTGTTCGTCTCTTTTAAGAGACATCTTTGGAAAGAATGATCTTTAAGGTTACAGTTAAGAAAGCTGTTCCAAGTAAGGGAATAAAAGATGTTATGTCGTTAAATTTTCACGGATTACGAACGCACGTTTCCCTCTTTTCTCTTTCCTTCAAAAATATAAGAGAATTATTAACGAGTGTATGGCGGAGATTGCAATTTCGTTAGTTCCTCGTAATCTCGCCTAACCGACATTTCAAGCTTTATACGAGCGAGAATTACTGACCCACCAAAGGGATGGAACCCTACAATCGGGACAAATGATAGGTTTACGGTAACACTTTCGCGTGCTAAATTACGATTCCAGTTTCTAGTTTCCAGTACCCAAGAGAGAAGCCTTCCATGATACGTGTAAAGTTAACTTTGGTATAACATAAGAACCCGAAATTACATTCAAACTCTAGTAGATAACGAAATCTTAGTATTTTTCTTTGCGAATGATCTCGCAAAGAAACATGTATATGTAAAAACATATTTTCTAATTCGATTATATATTTCAAGAAAATTCTTATTCGACTTAAATTCATTTTATCTATCTTTCTCTCTCTCTCTCTCGTATCAATCAGTAACTCACTTAATATCAGTAATAACATTTAAATCTAGTCTCACTGACTTCAAGGAGGAGAATCTCCCTGTTGGAGATAAGTATACATCTGTCGGTGATATGTAATAGCCTCGATAGGAGGAAGGGTCCTGTTACATGTGTCCGTCATATGCAATAACACGCGATAACGCAAGATAAAGCGAGATAACGAAAGATAAAGTAAAGTTTATAGCTGCGAACTGTCACCGAATTGTAATACAATTTATAGGATCGTATTATTTAAACCATACTAGATTATCGTTCATTTTCGTTTTCACGTTTGGAACGATGAATTAATAAAAAAGATGAATGATAAAGTAAATTTAAAAGGACGTTTCTTATCTTTCCAAGAATTATTATTACCTGGTTCAGGATGCACCACCGATTCTGCACTCCGGTGTGTCTCGTACAAATAAACTCGATTGTCTTCTCTTCTTCGTTCTTGCGTACTAGCTCAACGTGGCACACTACACTGAAATCAGAATAAGAAGAGAGACTATGAAGATTACGAATACGGTGTCGTAACGAGAAAGAGCAGTAAAATGTGTAATTATAAGTGAAGGAGCTCGTGGTACACGATGCACCTAAAACACTCCTCCTTTTCCTTTTCCTCCCCCGCCTACCACCTTCCGTTCTCGAGTACTTTAGATATAAAGGCAATCTCGTTGTCAACGGGGAGCTTGTATTACGCGTGCTATAACGTTCGCCGGTACTATGTTCTTCTATTCGTCGTCTACGTAAGCGGTGATGTAAGTTAATATAGTCGACGATTTTCTCTATGTTGATGTTGTATAGGGATCTAGGTGGGTTGCCATTGAACGTTCTAACGAGTTACGAACGCACCAATGAATGAGATCTATTGAGGATACAAAAAGTGAATGCAAGTCGGAACGACGTAGTCGCTCACTTAAACTTTTCTAAGCCGTGCTTTAAAATGACGAGTAGTCCCCCAATATAATATCTAAACGCTTTTCTTTCTCTCTTCTCTTCTCTTCTCTTCTCTTCTCTTCTCTTCTCTTCTCTTCTCTTCTCTTCTCTTCTCTTCTCTTCTCTACTCTACTCTACTCTTCTTTCCTCTTTTGGTAAACTTTGATAAAATGGTTTCATTTCTTTTGGAAATAACGTTCGCTCGATAAAAAGATAGAAGAAGGAGTTTTTATTTCGTTAAAATGTGTAACATCGTTGATATGAAAAATAAATTTGTTGACATTTTGTGTAAGTGGGAGAGAAAGGATGGAATACGGGTATGACCTATTTATCGGAAAAATAGCCCGTTTCGTCGACGCTTAAAAGATAATAAAACAGAATGTGGACAATGGCCAGTGGTATGGTATCACACCATTTACGAACGAACGCGAGCGAGCCACGCGATTAAACTCAAACGCACCGTATAAACACACGCGACGCGGCCAATCGCATTCGTACAGTAACGGTATACATTGAAGTTATTACAGGAAGCAAGAATGATCGTCCCATCCTGTCTATATAACTATCCTCTAGGTACGGATAGTTAACCGTATAGTGGGGATGGTTCATTTTCGTTCCGACTGTTGGATTAACTTTTTCGATAAATATTTTCAATCTAATCAACTTTTCCAATAGTATCAAGCATATATATATTCGTTACTCGATACAATAATGTAATATGTAAAATCATTTCGTAGATTCTTATCCGATAGAAAAAAAAAAAGAAAACAGGTTGAAGTAGTATTTCAAAAAATGTACGCAAGTCGATGGTTTCGTTAACGCTCATACCAAAATAAACGTTTACGCTCGGTTCGGCTACAATTTGCCGCTCTTTAGCCTGATCCAGTGTATAGAGATGGCAAGATAACGACACCTCTGCTCGCTATTCGTTGGCACATCGCCAAAGCGAATTGTTACGGCATCCCGGCAAAAGCTATGCTGCTTTCTAGCACGCTACGAGTTTGCAACCGCGTGATCGAGTTGTCGTCAATTTCCCGACAAATTTCGCTTCTGCTTTCTCTACCCAAACATATATATATATACACACGTAATGTGCATGTATTATTGTTGTATGAACGCATGGACGCGTTTATAAAATATATGAAAATATGTTTACAAGTATTACATGTTCCAACTATTACATTAACGAATGTTCCAAGTGAATATAGAAACAAATTTTGTAAATTCATTTCGAGAAGATAATTATTAATACATATCAAAAGGGGGAAACTTTGACTTCGATTCACCATGACTTTGACTTTTCAAGCTGCTCCAAATTGAATAACCGTGAGAAAACGGCTTGCAATCGGTATAATAGGATTATCAACAGCGGGTCTTCGAAATGTTATTCGACTCGATTAGTTAAGGATTAGAGCTTATAATCCTGCGACGTCTCCAATGGCCTAACGAAAGGGAAGATCAGCACGTAGCGGTCTTCGTAGATCAATCATGATATTTATATATATACATATATATACTATATGTGTGGGTGAATAGATGCATAAGTAGTTCGTAAAACAAGAAAAAATTGTAAAGGAGATTTTTTAAATAATCATAGTTTTCATATTATTTGATCACATTTCTCCTATAAACATAATATTGTAAATAATACAAAATTATAATGAATTTTCGTATGTAAAAAGAAAAAAGGGGGGGTCGTAAATAAAATGATTAAAATGTAATCGTAAAGAAATTAGGGATAATACCGATTAATCCAATTCACTTTTGTAACAATGTACATATCAAAGGCGTGTCCCATGAGAGACACGTTTAACGCGACCCTTAGAGGCTCGTTACCAGCACAGTACTACCGGTAGAGAATCGGTATTGGGAACCCCCACCTTGGATTCCCCCTACCACATTTAACCATTGTACCGACTGTAATGCACGTTCCCTTTACCCCGTAGCATTCGCTAAGAGATAAGGATACTAGATGGGACATAGAGACAGAAACGCACGCCTAATCGCACATAGGAACAATGGACTCGCATCGTCATCACAGCGTGCGACTATTGCAGAAATTGCTGTGGCAAGCGGGGCCGATTGAAGATTCGATAACGATTCGGGGATGTGAGGAGAGAGTGGATGAGGGTGAACGAGGGTGAACGAACTATCCTTCCCTGGCTTCCTGACGTCTCAAGCATCGACGCGCGCTAATTAGGCGACTGGATGGTACTCCAGGACGAAAAGCGGCATTAACGAGTCTCATCGATCCACCACCAACGACGTTCACTTTCTATTTCTTTCTCTATCTCTCGTCATTCAAAAGATTTTGGCTGGAACCAACCCACTTCGAATAATTCAACTTTCGATAATCAGAATGACTCATAAAAAAGAAAACTATCGTTAACGATTGAATCCGATTGGAAAATGAAGAGATAATAAAAGTAACGAAAAAAAATGTGTGTGAAAATCTGTCAATGGAGATATCGATGAAAGTAACTTGATTGAATATTTTTCTTTTTTCAAATATAATATTTCCATCGTTTTATATAATTACTTTGGGTTATTATATTGTATATTATCGTGTAGGATATACATGGGTGGATAATTATTTTCAACGTAGTCTTCATTATTTTGTTAACGATTTTGAACGTCGAATAGAAACCATACACTTTGCGCCGAATCTCTTCTGGGGCAAGTTAGCCTTTTAGAAAGGGCAAACGACACCCCTGTTGGTAGTAATAATAATTGTCGCACGGCGAAAGGGGTGGCCGGCCTGCTCGACTGTTTGGATATCCAGCTTGCCGTTATTAATGGGGAACGAAACAATTTCGTAACGCAACCCGGCTTATTATAATCCTCGCTTTATATATATATATATATATATATCTTCGCGCCATTTCATCCCCCTTTGCCTCTCCTACGATAAACACGCACCCATTGGCATTGTATATCTTTTTCTCACCCTCCCTCTCCTCGTGTATCTGCCTTTCATTCAGTTCCACCTTTGTTTCTTTCTCTTTCTATGATGTTTCCCTTTTATTTTATACGTCACGGATATAACTACTTGTACGATAACATTCACCCTTTAATACTAAGGATTATTACAGCTTGTTTGTCTTGCAAATCGATGGGTCATCTTCCTGGGAAAGCTAAGTCCCCCCTTTTATTCTTTTTTTTTCTCATTATATTTTTACAATACTTTTTTTTTAATATAGCCACATGTTAATATAGCATGTATATCTTTGTTTTTTTTCTCTTCTTACAAAAGATTTCTTTTAAATAATAGAAAAAAAAGATAGCTACGCGAAAGATATTTATTAGCCGATGTTAAAATATATAGAAATATTCGTTGAACGGAAAACATAAATGCACCCTTCGCGAACGATGATTTTCATTTATCGTATTCGAGCAAGAAGAGAAAGAGAGGAAAGCTCTTGATGCTTGCAACTTCGTTCAATGTACCGAAGCCAGGGGGAGGAAAGGGAATCATTAATTATAGATATTAAAGGTTGCCGCGGGCGGATGCGTCTGTTTTCCATCTCTCTCTCTCTCTTTCTCTCTCTCTCTTTCTCTCTCTCTCTCTCTCGCTCTCTCTTTTCATGCTCACAGAAAATTAGTTCGGTCCAAATGACAGAGGTTCTTTTCCGAATCAACGAACTGATAAATGTGGCTTCCTAGTGCAGAAAGTACGCTCAAAAATGTATTCATCCCATTAATTTAATTAACTCTAGGTCTAACCTGATATCGACTTAAATTTTCTAACGGAAAATAAGTGGAATTCGTCGATTCGTCGATAGGTTAAAGGAGTCACATGCAATCTGCTTTTGATATTCACGTTGATATTCTTCTCTATCACTATTACTCGTCATTTTATTCTCCTTCGATTACGTTGTCCGTTCGGATTGATTAATCGATCAAACTATTCAAAAGATATTATTACCTTATCCTCGACCTTGATTCTATTTAACAGAGAGTTATTTAATCCTACGTGACTTTATCGAAAATCGACGCGGAAATGTATTTTCGATGAAAAAGTAAGGAGAATTAATTATTACAAAGGTTCACATTTGTCTCGTAGTATAATAATGTGAGATATCAGAAAATAGAGAATTTTGTTTGATTAACTCGCAAAGATGTCCGCAGTTAGTTTGAGGAAGCTTCAGAACAATATAATCGATATCTTCGCCAAACTTCCTTCAGATTGTTTACGGAGTATACATAAAGGTCAGATTAGAATTGGAAAGTAGACCGGGTCGAAGAGAGTAGGAAGCCGATATAAGGCAAGCCGAGGTGTGCCGGTTAGCTGAATCCGCGAAGAACTTGCTACAAGATTTGAGAACTACTCGATTGAGGTTGCTGAGAAATTCGTAAGACGCAGACTATACGATTTCGTTTAACATAATAGAGATAACAACATCGATGAAAAACATTCGTTCCAAATTTGGATGGTTATTGGTAAATCAATAAATGAAAATATATAGGAAAAATGATGAAGGAAAGCGAAAAAGTCATCGTCGTGGATCGAACCTTGGCTTAGCCAGGGCTTGGTTTAGCAAGGGC